CGATAAAGGATGGCTGTCCTCGGAAAGCGAGGAGACACTTGAGATCCGTTCCGAGGACAGCCAGGGTCCCGACCGACGACGCGAACGGTTTCAATCGCCATGAGCGACATCAGACATCTCGTCTGGATTTTCTAAATAAAAGATTTCAAGCGCGAGCACGCGTACGTTTATTCTCCCGTCACCCACAAAAGTACAGTGATAAGCGACTGCTAAATGCTTCGGTGTCCGTCTCGCTCGACGGTTATTTCCAAAGTGTCCAGTATAGTGATAAGCGACTGCTAAATGCTTCGGTGTCCGTCTCGCTCGACGGTTATTTCCAAAGTGTCCTCTTCGCGTCGTATCCCGCCCCCTCGTTCAACTTTCCGGAGAAAGGGCTTAGTTTATGGCACCCTCAGGTACCCGCGCGCTTTCTCTTCCTGGGTGACAAAGTTGAGACCACCACTTCGCCGCCGAAATCTCGCTTTTCTTACACATTTTCTTCTACAATTTTTTTCTATCTTCAATAGGAACAGAGTTACAGTTCAGCTCAGTTATTAGACTCATTCATAGTGTACAATCAGTACATGTAAATTGTTGCTACGTTTTAATTGCAAGTAATTTCGTTGTTTTTCAATTTAGTTACGAATCGTGTAGAACTTTCGACGTTGTGGAACCGTGCTCTCGCTTATGGTGTGGTAATAGCAATGTTTCGCAGTCGTGCAAAACCAAAAAGGGACCGCCTTTAGAAGGCACGTTATGTGGTATTTCGAAGGTAAATTTAAACGTTCGAGAATAAACTATAATAAAAGTAGAATAAGTGATTGGTTTAATTACTGGTTTAACAAGAAATCGATATCTTTTACGCAGTAAAAGTTTCATTGAATGTCAGTTATAGGGTTTCTAACTAATCTTTCTCAAATTTTGTATAAGTTCATTTGATTTAAGATTTTATCTAAAACATTTTTGAAATCTCTCAGTTGTATATCCGTAGATGTATTTTGAATTAAATATGTATTCGAAGTTAAAAATAAATTTTAATAATTTACATTTAAGTAATAATTTGCACATTTGCGATAATAGAAAATATAAAAATTAGTAAATTTTATAACTTTAGTTCCTATTATGTTTTTATTGGTCAATGTTTATGCAATAACAAGTTACGCGATAATTTCAGTGGTGCATAAGCGGTCGATGTCAGTCAACGAGTAGAAAGAACTTCGATTTCGGTATAATACTGAACAAACCTAGAGATGGTGGTTGGAGTGCATGGAGTGCTTGGGACAAGTGTTCGAGGACATGTGGAATAGGAGTACAATGTCGAGCACGAAGATGTAACAGACCTGTGTTAGTATTTAAATCACCTTCTAACAATATTTACAGTTTGAAATATTTTTAAATCTCGCTTATTTCAGTCGAACATAACAAACAATCTATACATAAATTAATTAAATTACACGTAAACAGTGGTCTCTCTATGTTCAAGGCGACAAATCAGGGTACATTACGACAAAGAAAAAAGACGAATGTAATTTATAGTCGGGGCCACGATATAGCGAGGTCGTAAAATCGGTCAGACGTCAAAGTAAACATGTTTTAGCTGCCGGGACCCGAAAATTGACAGAGATACGAGCAGATAAGTACTTGAAACCATGGTCAGGACCGTACAAAGAATTCTTGTATCCAGCGAAAGTCAACTGATTCTAATATATTTACTGAAAACTGCATGCAGCTAGGACAAATTAGGGTTTCTCCCTCTGGGGGAAGCCGCTTTTGGAAGTACGGTTACAGGTAAAGGTCTTATTGATGTCTTTAGCATCTTAGTTTATCTACTCGTGTTATATACAGATAGAAAGTGCAAAAAGATTGTGTAGCTTAATATTAACATATTTTCCATTTGTAAATGAAATACCATTTTCTACTTGAAGTACCAAATCATATGCTACCATTCGTTTATTGTTGGAACCCTCAAACAGACTGCAACACACGGCCTTGAGTGCCGCAACATCAATCGGTGCCGATTCTTGAGAGTTTAATTTACGACCTCGCTATATCGTGGCCCCAACTATACACGATTTGATTTTCAACTTAAAAAAAAAAACAACCTGCAATTCCTTAAAGAAATAATGATAAAACAAAATTACAGTATTCAAGAGAATTTTCGTAAAATTCGTTCGTCGTAAAGTTACTTAACAATTTTAAATAATTATTTTCAATGTGAATTTATATTTACCTTTTACCATAACTTTTTCCTTTAAAGACCTGCGTATGGCGGGAAGTATTGTTCAGGTTCCAGCGACGATTGCAGACTCTGCGATTTACCGAAGTGCCTAGTACCGGTCGATTTTAGAGCTCAACAATGTTCCAAAGTCGCGAATATCTTGTATCTGGAAAGAGGTCAGTCGAAAAACGACATGACCTGGCTACCGTACGTGTCCGATCAGGAGAACTTGAAATGTCGATTGGTCTGCAGAAGTAAAGAGACGGGAGAGATATTTTACACCAGGAAACATTTGACCGATGGAACGCCGTGCTCTTACGGATCGACTGATATTTGTATACAGGTAGCCTAAAATGTTCAACATAAAATCGGAAATTTAAAGCTTCTTACACAGGGTGGTCCAGTCTTTTCCGGCCAAACTTTGTCAGTATATTCCTTGGGCATAAGAAAGAAAAAAAACGTTGGTCATTTGAAGCTTTATTAAAAACTTATTTAAATAATACGAAACACGAAGGGAATGGTAACAAATGTGCGGTTATCATACAAAATACTATAACGCGGGAAATATAATACAAATTAAGTTCTATCGACATCGCTTTTTGGGTCAAATTTAATTAACCCAAAATTCCAAATTCAGAATTTGCATGTTCCTTGCTTTTTATTAATTGCAATAGCAATTTTTTCTTAAGGTCCTCTTAGATCCTACTGTACCAATAAATTATGTGTTGAATGTAACTTTTGCCAGCGCCGTTCTTATCTTGTATCACAGTAACCACATATATTTAAGGATACGAAAAAGTTTCACACCAAATGATACATTTGATAATAAAAAGAATTTGTAATTTGATTTTCGGTCAGAGTGAATTCCTGCAAATATCAAGCATACTATTTTTTGCTCGCAACACTATTTCAGACGTTTAACAAACGCGATAGATTGAAAGTTATCGCAGAATCGCGATAAACCACGACGTTGAGTACGTCCGATTGGTGTGAGATTTTACGCTTGACTTTGCAATGATTAATTTTCTAAAAGCACGTTCTGTTCCTAGGGAGAGTGCCATCAAATGGGATGCGACAACGTTTTAGGATCGAAGAAGGTATTCGACGCGTGTGGAGTGTGCGACGGAGACAATTCGAACTGCGAGAATGTGATCAGCAAGTTTCAGCGGAAGCTTCGACGAGGTCAGTTCAGTCACCGTTCAAACTGAGTTATTAGAAGTGGCGATGAAGTTTGCGTCAAAGTCGGACGGTCGAACAGGCGGGAGCGGGGTAGAATGTCCCTAATTAGTTTAGAGGGAGAGGAATGGCTAGAGCGAAGTGATTAGTTGCTGATTCAGTCCGCCTGAAGGAATTAAACTCTACGTCTTCGTTTTTCTGAAAATCCTTTGACGTAGAGTATCGAATTCTCATCAGTGAGAATAGGTGTAACCAGTTAGGTGTAGCCGTATTAATAAACCGAGAAAACCAAGGTGAATTGACGTCAATTTTGTTGAAACGTCCATCTAAACAATGAACAAAAAAATACATGGTCCCATTTAAAAAAATACCGATGACCTTGAAATCTCGTAGAAAGAATGATTAGAACAAATTTTTTCCATCGTCAGATGTGCCCTTTGAAACGATATAACTTTGTCCTCTGTTCTTTCATATGACCAACAGTAACGGAGAGTTACTGCGTTAGGTGTTAGGTGTTCCCATTTAAACTCCCCACCCTGTATTTGTATAATTTCTAAACAATATAATGCCTAATAAAATGAAAAAATGTGGTCTCGCTTGCGTACGAAAGCAATTTTAGTAGGTTGGGTCATATTTGACCCGGCTTCCGCCGTGCTCGCGACTGAGGGTTAATTGATCATTAACGAAAAATCTAGTAACTCTTACTGCGCGTATTTGATATTTCAATAGTATTCATTATTTACTTTTCAGAAGTAACCCGCGTGGCCATAATACCACGCGAAACTCACAACTTGTTCATGAATATCACAATGCTGGCTCCTGCATTTTTCCATCCGGAAAATTTAACAATCGTAATAGGGGACGGCAGAAGAAGACGGAACGTGCAAGACAATTTAACTTTGCACAAGCGGGATTTAACGATCGTTCAAGGTGCCGCCTTTCGAGTTCAGAAGCGTGATACTAACACGTATTGCATTGAATCAGATGGCACAGCAATTGAAGACGTCGTGATTTTAGTAAGAGATAAATCTTTAATATTTCCTGTTAGAAATAAAAGCTTCGTTTTGTAATTCTACTATTATTTTGTACAATATTAATATCGTACAGTGTGATCGCGTATATAAATAACTTTTAATACAAAACGACTGGGGTTGCAATTTTTAATATTAACAATTTGCAGCGATGGTATATTTAAAGTAAATTTAAGTTTCTCAGCTGTGCTTTACACAAAATATTCGATATGACACTTTATTGTTAACGAAGTTGTAAATATAACGATTTCGTATTAAGTTGTATTAATATTCTATATTTTATTAACACTGTGAATTTCACTTTTCACAGCTCGTAATACCGGAAGACGTAATAGAGCAAGAAATCTCGGCCGAAGTTTCCTTGCGATACTTTTTAAATCGCGATGAAAAGCATACCAAGGATAGATACTTGTGGTTATTCGGGGGTTGGAGCTTTTGCTCGGCCAGTTGCGGCGGTGGAACCCGTCAAAAGATGATAGTCTGTAAAGACGACAAAAGTGGAAAAATAGTGTCGCGAAGGAAATGCCCGTTGACAACGAAACCGAATCAGGAGATAGAAAAATGCAACACATTTAGGTACAAAATTTAAATAAATCAGTAAGAGAAATTCACCCTTCAAAATAGAGTAACTTTTTAAAACTTGGGCCAAACGATTTGAATTTTTTTTTATAAGTTAGAAGGATTAGTTTATTAGATGACGTGCCCAAAAAATTTGGAAAAAATTGCAGTTTGTGAGAATCGCGAAGAAAATTGTAAAGGTCACTGTTTACAACTTTTTTATCTGGGCTGGTAATGAAAATTTAAAACATACGTTTTGTAGGTCTATGTCAATTATACACCTGCTGAAAATTTTATCGAAATCGGTTAATGTTGCTATAAGCTATAAACGGTTGAAGATTGTAAAAATCGCACGACTTTCGGCCTGTAACTCTAATAAATCTGAAGATTCTTACATCTTTCGATGCCTGTCGCTTGTTTCTCTATATGTCATTTATTCACCTCATTTCGCTGCGGAGGTTCTGTAAGTGTCGTGCTGTTTATCACAATCCTCTTACCAGAAGCACTCTCCACCTTCTCCACTCTGTTAGTTTAATGTAATTTATGGTAAAATCAGTGAATGCATAATTTAGTACCCATAATAAAGAAATTTAAGGAACAGGTAGAATAAAGTTTAGAATTTAACCCTTTTGTGATTTAATTACTTTTTTTACGAATATGTTAATTATCAACCGATCATCGCGTCTACAGTGGATACTGAATTGAGATTTATTTTTGTTCGTATACCTGCTCAAGTGGAATATACATAGTAGTGTCCCACTGGTCACGAAAGGGTTAAAATAGGTAAATGCTTTATAAATAAAAAATTATTTATCCCTGTTAACTATTTTTGATTATCTAATCCCTTGAAATTTTAATTTAAAGTAATCATATTAATTGATAAATACAGTAAATTCTCCACAAATGTCAGTCCGCAAGGAACCTAAACCTGACACTTGTAGAGTCAGGGACTACGTTTTCGAGCCTTGCGCCCGCCTTTGTAGTTTGCCGAACGTAGACAAGGACAGCGAATAAAAGATAAGGATGAAACGTGAGTCAAGGCAACCAAGCGATTTAAATACCAACTTTTTTAATTTTACGTTTTTTTATCCCGAAATTTTTCTTAACATATTGATGAGATTTTTCTGATGAAAATGACATCAAACACGACATAATTTGAACAATATTTACTTATTAACACGTTCACTGTCTGGCGTGACATGTTGTTCAAATTATGTCGTGTTTGATATCATTTTCATCAGAAAAATCTCACCAACATGTTAAGAAAAATTTCAGATGAAAAAAAGTAAAATTAAAGAAATTATATTTTTCTATTATGAATTGTTGAGCCGTGAAATCTCGTAAAAGAAACTGAGTGGTTTAGCGTTACACGCTTGACTGACAGCGAGCCATAGGCGCAGCAATGACGCAGCCTAGGCGTAGGATCATCTATACTGACACTTGTAGAATCCAAACTGACTGACACTTGTAGAGAATTTACTGTACTTATAAAATATATTAAAAAAATCGTATACTATGTTTACAAGTTATTTTGTCTCTCGCTAAAAATTACTTCCGTTAATTTGTCGATTTAAATAACAAACGTCGTGCGTATTATGCAAAATTGCAAATAGGAGTGTATATAGAACGTGACAAGTAAAGTTTCTTTCGTTTATTGCAGCTGCACTTTTAAATGGCTACCAGGTCCATGGGAAACATGTTCAGTTACATGTGGAAAATTTGGTATGCAACTACGACAAGTTTATTGTGTTCATTCAGAGTTTAATGGGACCGAAGTCAATAGAAATAACGAACTGGAAGTCTATCAAACGATGGTGCAGCCATCGATATGCCAATCCAGTCCAATGCCTATAAATAGTAGAGAATGCAACAGACATCCGTGCCCTGGACGTTGGATTTTTACAGATTGGTCCTCGGTAAGGACTGACTATTTCGTTTCTATTTTAAAAATAAGGTATATGTAAAACTTAACTAAATCCGACGGAGAAGTGGAACTTGTTTTAACGTAACACAAGGTTCATGTAATAATAGAATACCATTTTCTTTTTTATTGCAAGGAATATTAACCCTCTACTGTCGAGGCGGAGTCAGAGACTCCGCTGATTCTATCTTTTTTGCTTTCTTCCATTCTATTTAGAACTCAACGTTATTGTATTAAAATGAAATTAATACAACCAACCACTCTATTCTATAATGTTCGTTAGGAAAACGTGTAATAAAGGTAAATCGGTAAGAAAAGTTGTCAGAAATGTTCTATATTTATGTATGAACTAACTGGAAGTTCAGGAGTTTCGTAGACTCTATATCGGGCTTTACATCCCAAAAACGGTGTCTTGACAGTAGAGGGTTAAGGATGGTGTATGATTTTTATGTTATAATTGCCTTGTATTATTCCTTTATTTTCATAAATTTATTCTTTCTCAAATTTTATAAAATCAATATCAATTACATTCCACTTGTACTCTCAATTTTTATCATTTCACTTTGGCAATTTTCTTTACTCCTTGCACTGCGAATGAATCTTCCAGTGACATGCTATTTTCAGACTATTTAATGTACTGAAAATTACAGTGTATCAGTAAAATAAATATTTCTCTTTAATTTTTCGTCAAAAAATATTATTTTCTTAAAAAAGAAATTAATAAAATTACGCACCGAAGTTTATTACGACCACGAGTGTCACTCGTTATTTCAGTGCAAGTGGTTAATTTTAATCTATTCGATGATTACATTCGCTTACATAGAAATCCTTCCCTTTTACATTAGCAACCCCTAAAAATACAAACGCGTTTACCTTGATATGTATTTTTTTTATTTCACCTTTCAATTCGTTATTGAATTTTCAAATATTCCGAAGAATATTCGACCCCTGTTTTATCTTATAGTGTTCGAAGAACAACGGAAAAGGTATACAATCCCGAATAGCTCGTTGCATTCCACCGGAAAACGAGTCGTTCTACAGCTGCGATGGGCCAACCGTGAAGACAGAAATACGTTCTTGTAACGAACACGTGACCAGAGCCATCGAATTTCCATACCGTTGTTGGAAAGACAAGAATCGATTCTGTTCTATACCAAGCTTAAAACGTTATTGCGACGTGCCAGCATTTAGACGAAGATGTTGTCGTTCTTGCGAGAAAAACGAACCCTCAAATTTGTCGAACACTCTCGATCGAAGACATCACCTGCTACGGACTTAAATTATGAGGGTGAGTCGATAAACGAGCCACTCAGAAACCAAAGTGATTAACTCCACTTTTTCATATTCTTCCAATTTTAGCATCAAAACACATACTTGGTGCTTAATTTTTCATAAATAAAACTAACATTTCACAAATAAAAATAATATTCTTTCAATTTCAGTAACAAAGCACATGCTTGCTGCTTAATTTTCATAAATGAAACAAATTTAATAAATTTCAGTCGATGGAGTTAGTCACTTTGGCTTCCGAGTGGCTCGAATAAGTTACATCTTCCCTCTAAAAAAAATAGGAACGAAGGAAAAAATTCTGTTTTATTACCAACGTAAACTGGCAGCCAGCAACTATTTCTCAACATTTGTAAACACTTGTCGTAACGGGGAACCAATTTTCGAAATCCGTTTCTAAAAAATTTGCGCTTGATTTCCCGTAACCATTTCACCGTTGTTTTCTTCACTTCCTCATCCGTGCTGAAATCCTCAGTCGTGTCTTTCTTCATTTGGTCGAACATATGGAAATCACATGGTGAGAGGCCCGGACTGTAAGGTGCATGTTCTTATTGTTCTCATTGACATTTATGTAACAGCATCTGTGTCACAGTCGCAGAATATGGTCGAGCATTGTCGCGGAGGAGGACCACTTTTCTACTAACTAAGTTTTCCGGATCCTTTGTTCTTTCATGGCTTTTCGTAGACGTTTTAACCCCTTAACCTATGATTTTTTTGCATACTCTGCATCTAAGCGTCAGCTATTTACTGTTGCAGTACTGTGTTAAGTAAAAGAAGCTAATGTATTATAGATGAATTACATTTGGCAATCCACAGTTTTATAAATTAAAACGAAAGTTAGAATTAAAATTAATTTTTGTTACTAATAGAACTGTTTTTGTCGTATCTTGACCAGATCTGTGTCACAAGTATGACAGGTTGCTATAAGGCAAGGGGTTAACGTTTCACAATAAGCACAAGTGTTAATTGATCTTCCCTTAGGCCTCAATTCTACGAGAATTGTACCTTCTGAATTGAAAATACCGAGATGTATCTTACTTATTGACTCACCCTCCTGCATCTAGAATTCTTGACACGAAACGTTTGTTGCGTTTAGTATTTGTGATAAAATGAACTTAAAGACACAATGAATGATGTAAAAGGAAGAAGAAAAATATGTTTCGAATGGAAAATTTTTCAAGGAATGAGAGTTAAATTCGTTATACCGATTACTATAAGTGTTCCTATGCGTACGATGGTCCCCTTTGAAATTAAATTTTTAATTTCGTCATTTTTACAGTTATTTCTGTAACAAACATGTTCGACGACAAAATTGTTTGCATTATTGGAAAGAAGATATAAGAATAAAATGTGTAATAATGAACTCTACGATTAAATTTAAATAATTACATTAATTTGTGAATTGTGTGAACGTGTTTTTTTTTTTAATGGAAATATTAGTATCATAATTAAGTCTATGCAAAAGTTTCCATCACTTGTAAATCGATGGCACTAAAAGGCACTGTATGTTTCTTCTCTTATTTAAATGTTCACAGTTGGTATTTATACTGAATATACTAGGTCGTCCCATAACTTCGTGTCGAATTTTACAATTTAGATGAATATTTCCAACGAAACTTTAAATTTGATGAAAAAAGCGTAAGTGTCTTCTCATTCTACAACATTTTTCTATTTTTTCTTTTTGTTAGACCATTATTCGTCTCTACAGTATTTCCTTGGATTTTCATTAAAATAATTTTCGCTTTTGGCACGAACTTATGGGATGACCTAATAGTATTAGGAAATGTATAGTATTAATATTATGTTACTATAACATTCTTATGGCAACTGATTATAAATATAACAAAAATATAAGTACACATTCTCAAAAAAAGTATGATGGGAGCTTTTGCTAATGGCTATAAAAATGAAAATTTAATTTTTGCAATTGTAATTTATGTAATTGATTGCTGAAGAACGAATGGCATTTATTAATGTAGATTACAAGTTTAAGGTAACACTGTATGGTATAAATACGTTTTAACGAGTTTTGCATAATTTAACAATGCAAGACAGCGTTAACGTTACCTTATTTAAGAAGTTCATATTTGAAATGTGAAGATTTTCGACAAATGATAAGTATTATCGCGAAAATGGTAGCGTCCGGTTAAAAATAATATTTCTGTCTATTATTATGAAAATAAATTCTTATAAAAAGTAAAACAATCATAGTTGTGCATATAAAATTCGAAAACAGGTATACATTAACATTACTAAAATAACTATGCGTTTATCGAACATTTTAAATTTGAAATATTCATTACTTTTGAAATATAAATTGCCAAGGAACAAAATTTCAACAACGTAACGTAAGTTTCGATTTTTTCAAATTCTCGTTGGTAAATTATTCTTAAATAAACTATTAGTTTTGCTAAGACTAAAATTAATCGTACTTTCGCAAAATAGGGGTAATTAATTTACACGAAAAATTAGTCTCGGTAACAGGCTAAGGTTTATTTCAATTTCGAGTATACAATACACAGTGACATTATTATTAGTGCGAATTAAAAATCTAACGAAACGAATTCAAATCAAGCAGGATGACTAACGTTGTATAATAAATATCGAAGGAAAAATGGTAATATGGAACTTTGTTGGTAACATCCACTTTGTTCTTTATATTGTTCAATTGTCCATCAATTTACCGAAATATCGTTTCTCACTGAAATCATATCTTACATTTATTTTTCACAAATGCAAAGAACCAATAGAAAAGATTTTTTTGCGAAACCTGCAAATACATGTATGTCGCGTTTGTAGTTATCGTTTATACAATTCAATTCTTATATCGTATAAATTTGTATCAATCAATATTTGTCCAGAAATGACCGATGGTATAACGTAATATTTTCAACCGTTCTTCTCAACATTTTTTTTTTTTTTCTTTCATGTATAAGTTGGTCGTAAAAATTTCAATAAAAATACAGTATATTGTATATATCGAAATAATATCGTTGAACGTTATAATAAATATTTATACTTTATCTATATCATTTGATTTCCACTAATTTTAATCGTAACGTTACACGATACATTTAAAGATTTATCTCTCGAGTTACTTTTATTCGATTCGTAGGATCGATTTACCTCTCGAATCGGTAACATCTAACGAAGGATTGTCATTTGAAAAGAGTGTCCACAACAAAACATACACGAAGTATGACATTCCATATTATCATATTCTCTTTCACACCGTTACAAGAAGCTTTTACACCTCGCTTCTCACGAGTGGTAGAAAATTACGATGGAAAATTCGGAAGACCCGATTCTATCGAAGAGATTCGCGTCTCCTTTCCGACACACATCAATCTACAATTTCTCTTTTGACTTACGCTTCCTTAAATTCACACCTCCGATTATCGTAGCTGCTCTATCCAGCAAAGATATGTACGTAAACATACATTGGATGTTTCAGAATTATAGACGCAACTCGAAGTTTTCGCAGAAATTCATAGATAGAAATAACAATAATAAGAAACAAAAGAAGCAGAATGCGATTTGAAAGACTGAAAATGTAGTTAAAATGATAGATTTCGCGTAATCCTATGTATGGTAAATAAAAATAAAATCTAAATTTAATTTAGTTTAAATAAAATTTAATTTAATTTCAATTTAAAAATATTTCAAGTTGAAAGGAATGGAATTAGTTGGAAATTTTACTTAAAGAGTTTTTTCCAATCCTGTTATTGTACTATTTACATCTTCAACGAATATGTATATACGTTTTCGACAGATTTCTAAAATGAATTTTTAGTTTCTTTCGAAAAGGTGTATCAAATATAACTCAATTAAATATTAAAATTTTCTTGTTTTTTTATAAACATTATAAGCTAATCGCGCTTTTATCTATAATTCTGCAACATCCTGAAAATCGTATGTAGATGCTCGTTTGAGAAATAAAATTTTATCGATCGAACGGAAAGTCGATGAATCGCTTTTCAAATTAACCTTTTCGCTGGAAGAATATCTAGTTAAAAAATACGAGTTCTGTAATATTAAATAAAATGTCGACAAAGAATAGGAGAACAATTAACAAGTAGCTAAATAGTACGATAGAATTTAGTATGATTCTGAACTGAAAATAGTAACATATACATTATTATAAATCTTCGAATACATACTTTCACAATCGATTAATCAGATGTTAAAACGTCCGCAACTGGGAAGGTAACCTCAATTTAGAAATACTTGATTTTAATATAAAACGCATAATGTAGAAAAGAATTTCAAAAAACGATGTATTACGATTATTTTAACAGCGAAAAGGTTAAAAACTAGTACATTTTTGCCTCTGAACATCAATGAAGAAAGATTTTAATCGACTCGTGAATAACGATCGACCGATAAACTGAACCGATTATTAGTCGCAACTCGTTGCATTAATGCCCTCACTACGTACTCAATTATTTATTCTTGTTCTACAGAGTTATAATAGTAATAAGTATTGTCTGCTTTTCCAACTGGATCCATGTTAGCTTTTTTATTTTTTTATCTCTAAACTTAGGTATAGGCTGTCATGTAACGTCATGGCGAAACATTCTCGAAAATCTTAGAGCCTCGTATTTGCGACCATCCTTTAAGTTACGATTAATTAATATACGGATTGACACGACTCGATTTTGTGAACCTTACGTGTGTGCATTTTAACACGTGCGCGACTAATTATACTGTTAATTACTTATACAATTACATATTTTATATAATATTGTATTTATGTGTATATCATCTATACATTATGTAATTCATTTATATGTATATAACTCTGGGTACAAATAATGTTTACAAAAATATTCATTTGGGAAGGCAAACTTTCAATTATAAACCGCTTACTCTTGAATACTCACGAATGTAACAATAACACGGCTGATTTATCTACAACATAGAAGGAAATTTCTTCCTTGAATTCAAATCAACTCTCGGTTCTAATCGTCAATTCATTACTGAAGATCTGTCAATTCGGAACAATTTTCACGAAATACATTGTACACTTCTCTTTACGAACACGTTAACACGTTCACTGACCAAGCCTTTCTCACACGTCCCGCGAAACAATAACATGGTTAGACTAAACGGCCACCTTGCGGTTGTTTATACTATGTATTGTCATCTCCTCATTACATTTACGGCCTTCAGTTTTAGAAAAGAAGTCAGAAGACGTGATATGCAGGCGTGTAATTCGTCAACAAGGTGACATTTTTGTAATAATTGCACCTTGGAAAGAAATACTCTTCGTTAGCATTTTTATAATAAAACGGACTGCGAATAAGGCTATGGTTATAGTAGATACGTATTTGTATACGTATCTGACGAACTGGTATTCTGACGAATTCAATACGTCAAAACAGTCAAATTTGTATACAGATTCTTTTGAGTGTATGGATTGCAGTCTTCAGATGTTTCATTCGTCAGAACGTCAATTCATCCGAATACGCATCTACTATAACCACAGTGTAAAGCAAAGATACGAATCGTTGACTAATACCTAGTGCACAATTAGCAAGAACTTCAGAATAAAGCGACTTTGATTTGCTTTTTTCGGACAATAAAGTTATTTCTGAGCAAAGTGACAGTGACTTCTACAATGACAACAGATGACAAAATAGTTCAACGGGATGATGAAGCAGTGACTGAGTGGTGTGACAGTATTCTGCCTCAATGTGAGATTTTGTTTGGTAAATCTGGTATCGAAGATTTTAAAACAATTACTGTTGAGGGAAAACCATTGCTTCTTTCAATTTATCTTCAAATTGTAAATGAAGATGTTTTACATCTTATGATAGAACAAACCAATTTATATGCACAATAAAAGGTAGATTGAAGAAGTGAACAGATACCAATATTAAAGAAATGAAGAAGTTTCTGGGAATTCTGCTATTCATAAGAATTGTCACCTATCCAAGATTAGAATCCTATTGGAAAAAAGACTTTATATCATCACCTCCTCTACTACACAATATAAATATAGGTTATAATAGGTTTAGTGTTTCATTGCAGTTCTTGCATTATGTAGACAACACTGCTCAACATACTGGTCTTGTTTTTAAAATTTAGTCCATAATTGATATGATTATATCAAATACCTTGGTGGTATTGTAATTATAGGTAGATTAATGATATCTGTTTGTGGTTATCTTATGCTTAAACAATATAATCCATCAAAGCAACATAAGTATGGTATAAAAATTTACGAATTATGCTCTACTGATGGGTACACATAGTCATTTGAGGTACATGCAGGACAGTCAGATGAAAATATCTCAAATTTAGATAAGCCAGGATCTATGGTGGTAAAATTATTTGGACCATTTGTAAATGAAGGACGACTTGTAATTGCTGATAATTACTACACAAGTATTCCCCTTGCACAATTCCTGAAATCATATTGAACAGATTTGTGCGGTACCTCACATGCCAATAGGATAGATATTCCAGCAGAAATTTCCAACAAACAATTACACAAAGGCGAAAAAATGACATTACGTTAGATCATCTTCGAAAAGTAACAATCAACATTTTCTAGCAGAAAATAAATTGCACAGGAAGTGGTGCTATGGTTGTTATGAAAACTTGAAAAAAGTTAGTGAGGACACTCAAAAGAAAGCCAAACAAGTTCACGAAGAATGCAACATTTGTAAGAAGTCCTATTTGTTTTCAATGTTTCGGAGAAAGACATACAAAACAATTTCTCCATTTTGTATAAAACTGTCATTTTCAATTCGTGATAAATTGATCTCGCATACGTCATAAATAAAACTTATACAACATTAATTGTAACCGTTTATCAAACATGATGCACGTAGCAAAAATTGAACACCATGCATCACATACAGAGTGTTCCGCTTAACGAAAATACAGTGGATTATTTCACGAGGAATTGAGGTTATGAAAAAAATGTTCATACAAAAGTTATTCGGTATATAGGGGGACATTAGGTGGTTTAAATAAATTTTCTGTAGGTGTAGTAATGGGAGAGATATGAAAGTCAAGATAATTTTTTTAAATGTAAAATAACTTCTGCAAGAATATTTTTTTCACAATTTTGATCTCTCGTGAGATATTCCACCGTTTACAGTTAAACGAAACACCCTGTATAAAGCACGGGTCAGTGAACGTGTTAAAACAAGAGAAACTTCCCGTTAAATTCTTTAGAAACTAACTACCTTCAAGTGAAATGACTCGAGACGTTTGGATCTTTGGCTAGTTTTTCAAATACACGGTGGTAGTTTGCAGTTTCACTAACATCGAAGAAACTCGTAACTCTTTACATATCTGTTGGGTATAATTCAACTTGAATTCTTCGATGTTACTGCAGCTCACCATGACGGTTTTGTTATGTGCACGTGTCACAAAAAATGGCGTTTAACCGAAAGTATAATAGGGGGTTCAACAAAATCTTCCGGTTTAATCTCGTGTACTTATGACCCAGTAATCTTTCATACACGATTTCTAGTTGTACAGAATACAACATCGAAGCATCGATATCGTTCTCTCGATATGCTTCTGCGATCAAGTGACAATCATCTTTCGTCCCTTCAGATATATCCTTTGAAATTATGTTCAAATCTGTTGAAATTTTCATTTACGATCGACGATCAGTGGTGTACAATAAGAAATTCTGTTCACGAATCAACCATTTGTTCTAAAACAGCTTAATTAGCTTGAGAATTGTCGATTGTACTTTAACACAATCCCCACCGTTCATAAATTGCATACACGACGATGTTGGATACACGAAGATTTCTCTTTACATCTACAGAGCTCCAGTTACCGTTCGCAAATGGTCAAATCCGGAGACACGATTGTCGCTTGATCGATTAAACGGTTAACACGAATAACATCGTTCGTTGCTGGTGAAACCAGGTGGACCTCTCGACAGACCGTTAAGTTGTTCACAGTTTACACAGAAATAGGCTCGACGGAAACTTCTCGTTTCGATATGTCAAGCGTACTCTCCGGAACGACTTCGTTCTAACAAGCGACTGTTCGATGACTTTCTCAGATAGCACACAGACGTCTTGTGAACGTCTTTGAAGACGTCGAAGCCTGAATATGTCCAAAAGACGTTTGAACGACGTCCAGTGTTACAAATCAAGGTGTCTTGATTTGGCGAAGCACTGGGCTGGCTTTAGAAACGTTTTAAAAACGTCTTAAAGGCATAATTTCTCTTCGTAATTTGTCTGAAAGATGTCCAAATCTGGTCGTAAGATATTCAGACCAAGAACGGACATCTCCAAGACGTCGCGTGCTATCTGAGTTTGCACCTTCGTTAAAAATTACGCGTTATTCATACATTGTTTTTTTCTTCGTTGCGTAAATAGAACGATAATCGTGAATACTTCCCGTAGAAAAACGAACAAATGCGTTCCTGGCCGTGTTCTGTTCATTTTTCACTCTGATACCTTGCAACGCCCGTCTGACGTACTTCGTTCTCGTTAACATCGTATAATAAATTACTAAACATTATCATACACTACGTACACGTTAGGCAGCCTTACGGTAAATTTACTTTTCTTTTTGGTGAATTCGACGATAAAGGTTCGTTTACGATTACTACCATTGAAATTCTCGAACAGGAAGACTGTAGTGACTCGTCGTTCCTTCTCGTCGATGTGTAAACGTAAAATCTCATCTACATTAATGGTTCGATTTTTTAGTGCTTTGGTAAAATGTAATCTGCGATTCGGTACAACTTGCTGAAGTTCCTCACAATCGTTCCACGTAGTTTCCGGGAAAAGTGCCGAAGTAACCGGTCCTCTGACTGGAACCGACGTACCATCCGTCGTCGCACTTTTCCATCACGTACACCGTGTCGCCTATCTTCAATTCGAGCTCGTCTTCGTTTTGTGGTCTGTAATTGTAGAGAGCTCGGTACCTGGAAAATATTCGAGATACGTTCTGTTAAGTTTTATTCGACTTCGCGGCGAGATTTTTAGAAGATAAAAGGATTAGAAGTCACTGATTTTTATATATAAGTACAGGGTTGGGCGTAAGAACCTGATGATTTTTTAAATGAAATAGAGTTTCACGTTGTTTCATTTTTTATTAAGTTCTTTATGTCAATTCAAAGATGTTATCACGTCATTTTATTTTCTTACAAGGACTTCAGTGAGATGTGTCCCGCCATTCGTCAGTCACTGTTCTAGTCTACTTCGAAGATTTCCTATTACCCTCTTGACTATTTCGTTAGGAATTGCTACAACTTCATCTTTCAATCGTTGTTTCAATACTTGAACGAACGAATTGTCCCAATTCTTGCCGAAAATTCCGAAGCTACGATTTCACGGAGTTACGGCAAAGAACAGAGTCTCGACGCGGAATTTGAACATGTATGCGAAGCAATCCCTGCGTCCTAATAACCGATTCACTATTTAAAAAAAGGAGAAATGAGTGTGCGTGTAGTGGTAACAGCAAAAATGATCAACATACTGAGACAGGTTAATATAAACATACATAGTGTGGGTGGACGCTAATATGCTTTTTTCTTCTTCTTAAGCGTTTTGTCGAGCTCTTATCATTGCTTGGAACATGCCTTCCTCGCGTATGAAAATAAAGAATAGTTTATAATTGAAATACCACCTTTTAATTTATTGCCTAAATTATTGCCATGACAGGGATACAGTAAAAAAGTAAGACTCTAACAGAATTTGCATTTCTTAACTAACTTAAAAGTAAAGCAACTGTTTATTCGAGTCGTAACTCTCAGAGAGTTGAGCGATGCTCTCAGACAGTCACTCTCAGACGCAGTGTCCCACTCGCGAGAGATACTCTCGAGAGCAACTCGCGATAGTTTTACTCTGAAAAGGACATCTAGCTTTATGTTTGGCTCGATGTACATTCAGCGACCCAGGTTCGCGTTTCTTATGTTTGGCTCGCAAGAAATATCACGAGTTCTAAGAAGATAAGGTCTAGAATTTTTCCCAGGACAGTTGCGAGCGTACAGCGATCAGAAATCGGGCAGGACGACTCGTCCTCAGTCGGTGTTTACGAGGCTGTCGAACGAGTGCCTCGACGAACGTCGCTTATACTGCGCGATTATAGTCTTGTAGGGAATACATCGAACAACGCGTTTTCGATTATACGCGGATTTCCAATCAATTTACGTACTTAGCATATTCGTTCGTGTGAATTAAGTGCCGCTGCATACAAGAAGCTAGTGCACCGAATTCAAGCACACAACGAACAGCTCAGCTTGGGAGAAAAATCAAACGAGAAGCGTGTCTGTGCGAGCTACACAGCTACAGTTTCACGGTATGTGTGTGCGTGTGAATGATTGAGTTAATTGAAAATAGAGGAGAGCCTACGTATAGATAGTTAGATTAATTACTGCAACAATTTCGTTCTATCGTATCCTAAGTTTATTTTTCTTGTAATAAGATGTGTTATAGATATGAAACAGCATAACAGCCCATTACACTTCTGAAATGAAAATAATATTGCGCAAAATACTCTTTATATCGAAAGTATATGATAATTGGGTAACACATCTTTTCAAGATAATATAGGGTGTCCTGAAAATTAGTCTCATATTTTATTTTTAAATAACTTTTCAACGAA